ATACTCACTCGAAATTAAATTTCCAAACACCCCCAAGCCTCAATAATTTTTTTTTTTTTTTTAAAGAGTTTTAGTAGGTTCCGACATCACGCGCCCTGTTTCCTTCCACGTTAGGTTAACGAATTGGGTATTCGGTATTCCTTCCGGATAAGCTTCAAATTTTTTCCCACTCCTCTATCCATTTCTACGCGCCTGTTCCTTTTCCACCCACCCAAATTCTAATTATAAATCAAATTTTTAATTAATGCCGCACACTATTTTTCATTCTAAATTAAAACAAAAATATTTTCCGCCCCCATTTTTATTTATTTCCACGCCTATTTCCCACGACTTTCCAATTTTTCAAATTCCACGAGCCTCCCATTCCACACGCCTTTACTCTTTCCCCTTCCTCCACATATAAATACCCTCATCCACCCTCGTTTCTCTGTCAGAAAACCAAAAAGCCTCTGATTCTCCACAAAAAGAAATAAAACGACGATTACCGATTACCGTTTCATTCGCCGACGAAATCCGAACTTTTAGAAGAAGAAAAGAAAATGGTTGATCTGCACTGGAAAGCCAAGATGGTCTCCTCCGATCTACCCAACTCCCTCCAAGTACAGATTCCGGCGCCGGCGGCGCCCTCCTTCCGCGGCGTAACCAGTGTTTCGCCGGCCTCGGCTTCCGACTCCGCGTGCTCAGCCTACGAGCTGTACCTCCGCCTCCCGGAGCTCAGGAAGCTCTGGTCCGACCGCGAATTCCCCGAATGGAGAAACGAACCGGTCCTCAAACCAGCCCTCCACGCGCTCGAAATCACTTTCCGGTTCGTTTCCACGGTTTTATCCGACCCGAGGCCGTACGCCAACAAGCGGCAGTGGAAGCGGCGGCTGGAGTCGCTGGCCACGACTCAGATCCAGCTCATCGCCGCCCTGTGCGAGGAGGACGACGGCGGGGCTCCGGTCGTCGATCTCAGCTCCGGGAGCGGGGTTCTGGCGAGGGAGAGCAGCTACGCCGAGGTGTGGACGATCCCCGGCGGCGGAGAGGAGGATTCCGCCGCCGCCGTGGTGGTGAGCCGAGCCAGCGAGGCCAGCCTCCTCCCTCCGCTGTCCACGTGGCAGACATCCGAGGACGTCGCGCAGAAGATCATGTACTCGATCGAGTGCGAGATGAGGCGGTGTCCGTACACGCTAGGCCTGGGCGAGCCGAACCTCGCTGGGAAGCCGAACCTCGACTACGACGCCGTTTGCAAGCCGGGCCAGCTCCATTCCTCCTCCCTGAAGCGGAATCCGTACGACCAGCAAATCGAGAACCAAGAGAACCAGGCCCTGTACACGGCGCACCAGATCTTGGAATCGTGGATCCAGGTAGCCAAACAGGTGATTGGTCGACTCACCGAGCGAATCGCGGCGGAGGAATTCGAATCGGCGGCGAACGATTGCTACTTCTTGGAACAGATCTGGAAGCTTCTCGCCGAAATCGAAGATCTCCACCTGCTAATGGACCCGGACGACTTCCTGAAACTGAAGAACCAGCTCTCGATTCGATCGGCGGCGGAGACGGAGCCGTTCTGCTTCCGGTCGAGGTCGCTGGTGGAGATCACGAGGTCGTGCAAGGAGCTGAAGCACAAGGTGCCGGAGATTCTGGGCGTGGAGGTGGACCCGAAGGGCGGGCCGAGGATTCAGGAGGCGGCGATGCGGCTGTACAGGGAGAAGTCCGATTTCGAGAAGATTCACCTGCTGCAGGCTTTGCAGGCGGTGGAGGCGGCGCTGAAGAAATTCTTCTACGCGTACAAGCAGGTGCTGGTGGCGGTGATGGGGAGCTTGGAGGCGAAGGGGAACACGGCTGGGGCGGCGGTGGTGGTGGCGAGCTCCGAGTCGTGCGACTCGTTGACTCGGTTGTTCTTGGAGCCGACGTATTTCCCCAGCTTGGACGCTGCCAAGACGTTTCTAGGGAAGTTCCACGAAAGGCGGAATACGAGGCAGTAAAACAGTAAAAAAAAAAAAAAACTAATCATCGGGGAATTTCTAGCTGAGTCAATTTTTTGTTCCCCCAAACGTTATATGTAAAATTCTTTTTGTTTTTCCTCCCTTTTTCGTTGACTGGTTTATATGTAAACAAATATATGTTTATTTGTTGTATAATTTAATTGCAATTCCTACTCTTACGAAATAGATCCATCAATCCATCCACGATTACTTCCCACAGACAGCAAAAGAACAAATAGGGTGGGAATTATTTATTAATTATATTAGGTGATTAAGAGAACACGATTAGAGACAGTTGATTCTTCTCCCTGACAGGCTAGATAATCATCATTAATTAATTAATATTATTAGTGCGTTGAAAATGTGTCTCGTGGACCATGACGACAATATGAAAAGGTTACTCTACGGGTTCCAAGTTCCAACTCCAACCGGCTGCTTCAACAATTTGGAACAATTTGGGCTCCCACTACTAAATGTCAAACAATTCTAAATTAGTACCCAGTTTGGGTTAGGTTCCGACGTTTGTATTATTAATGGAGGACAATAATATCCATCGACATGATTAATCGTTGGAATTCAAACAGATTAAATAGGATAAAACTAGATAAAATTCGAATTTGAATATTATGGCTAATGAGCGGATATGATCTTTATATTATCCAACCAGAGCCCACCTGATTATAGATGTATATATATATTTTTCAATGAAACGTCATTCTATTTCTCAAAATATTCGACATTCGTAATACATATACAACATCCCAATAAATTCTTGCTCTTTTTTTTATTTCTCCTAAAATTGGTGGCTTATATTTATAATTTTTCATCTGTATAGTAGGAATATACTTTCTAATAGCAACACATTAGATTAATAATAAAAAGTTATTATCCATGGAACCGTGATCCAAACATATACAAGTATGATTTATATTTACTAACCGAATCTTGTACAAATATGAATACAAATAAAATTGGGTAAATACAATATATTATCCATAACTATTAAGTAGCGGGTAATTATAGCCACAACTATCGAAATATAAATTATTAGCCATAACTATTATTGTGGGTCAAGATTTGGCTAATAGCCCGTTACTGTTTTTCAAATTTTTAACGTAGAAGGCCATGTCAGCATCGTAAAAAATATGATATGATGACTGCCACGGGGGAGCCAGCTCACCATCGTAAAAGCTTAGTCATCATTACTAACAGAAGTGTAAATGAAAACTTAACGATTGACTAATAATTTGTATTTCGATAGTTGTGGCTATAATTCCCCGCTGCTTAATAGTTATGGCTAATATATTGTATTTTCCCAATAAAATTCAAACTAATTAGGATTGAGTAACATATATGCATTATCTGTCTCTCAACCGAGCTGTTGCCCATCCTTATAAGCATCTGTCAAGAACCAGTTGATCCTAATAACTTGAGTTGTTGGGAGAGTTTCCATAATGGATTTTATGCCGCACACTAGCACGCCCCCTCAAATGAAGTTTTCACATGTCCGATACCATGTGCTTAACAAATGAGGGTTGTGGGAATTCGAACACAAGATCTCTTAGTCAATGAAGAATTTGATACCATGTCAAGAACCAGTTAATCCCAATAACTCGAGTTGTTAAGAAAGGTTCCACAATGGATCTTATCTCACCATGATGGAGATTAACTTGTTTAACTTTTGCAACTCTCAAAAGGACTTGCATCATTATTAATTCCATCGAATGCACATATTGATTGGTGTAGTCAACTCAAGTATATTGAGGAGCACATAGGGGTGGGAAACGGTGCGGTTGCGATTAACTGCAACCGCAAAACACCCATATTAGCCAACCGCGAGCGCATCTCTCACGGTTAGCGGTTAACCAAAAACCGCATAACGCGGTTAGCGGTGAACCGCGGTTTATGGTTGTAAAAACCGCAACAACCGAAACAGTATACGAAATCGCGGTTAAGCAATCTAACCGACAATTAACCGCGAACTAACCGCAAAAAATTCATAAAAAAAAACACAGCAGCTACTGTTTTGTCTATTTTCACTTCCATCAAGCCCCTGCATCTGTCTGCATATATCCAAATAACACAATCCACAAATGCACACGCCGGACGGTCGGGGACGTCGGCGGGCGGATGGCAGCGGCGCAGCGGGAAGATGGGAAGGGTCGAAGCTCGACTTGAAGGGTTTTCAGTTGCTGGTGGGAAGGGACGAAACGAAGGGTCGAAGGGGATTTTCGATTTTTGTTTCGTCAAATCAAAACGACGGCAGGGAGAAGTGGGAGAGGGGCTGGGTCGGGTTTGGGCTGCTGCCTGCTGGGCTGGGGGTCAACTTTGGGCTGGGCTGGGGGTCAATTATGGGTTGGGTCTGGGTCGCGGTTAGCCTTGCGGTTATATGAATTTGCGGTTTCGGTTGCGGTTAAACCGCAAACCGCAAAACAGCTCATATCTCCAACCGCGACCGCAAAATAGGCAAAATATGCGGTTTGCGGTTAACCAATAACCGCACGGTTTCGGTGCGGTTATCGGTTTAACCGCGAAACCCCAACCGTTTCCCCAGCCCTAGGAGCACATACACTAAACGGCAATGTTTCGTGTAGTGGAGACTGGAGACTGGAGGCACGTCTGGATACCTTCCAAAAACAGGGCCGCCACCGTGTTGAAATTGCCTGAGAATTCCGTCTCCCTCTTGGATTCAGCATCCGCAGCCCATAAAATAATCCATACAATTTAGAATAGTGGCCCAACTAATAGAACTCTTTTTTGCTTCATGTTAGTTGAAGCCCATCAGTCCATTAACACGAGCATAGTAGGCCCACAAGTTTAGCCCATTTAGCAGACTGATTAGGAAAACCCAGACGTAGAGAAAGGAACAGACACTAGCAATGCTATGCAGGCAGCGTAATTGCCGCTCAAAACAATCCACAATTGAGGATTTCTGGCATCAGAACTAAGCTTGAGAATGATGAAGCAACCAAAAAACACTTCAATGCTATCCCCTGACAATGTTGCCATTAACTGGAAGACTTGGAGCGATTTATCTCCCAATGTCACAGAACTCCACAACCAAGTTGAGGATCCCAACCTGAATAAAGGTTAGCAATAAACAATGCAGTGAAAAGCCTGTCCATGTTCAGGTCAGACATAAGTTACGAAATCCAGTTCTTACCAAGTTGACAGCCAAACGGATGAAAGTAAGAACCATTTCGTCGCTGTCTGTTCTGGTGTTCCCAACTACTGAGAATGCAAGACCAACAATATGGACATTTGGAACGGATATATCAGGTTTTCAGTTTTCACAAAATAGCTCGTGTATATGATTCCAAGATCAAAACCTATCTATCAGAAAGTGGCAAACTGCTGTTGAAGTTTCTCGGTAATGATACAAACAATCTTGTCCAAGCAGAATTGCAGAAAGCTAAACTTTGATTCTATCTGAACAAAGAAATGAATGATACAAGGAAGGAGGAAAACTACACTATTATACAGCTCAAGGGATGAAAAGGTTAACTAATGATCAGAGACACTCAGATGATTACCGAAGAGGTGAACTTTTCTATCAAATCGAAACAATAGATTGTGTGGTGGTGGGAGACCTAGCTAGCATCACCAGAACCAGCTACTGCGGCTATCAACTGCCTTGACTGTTGTGGATACTAAGGGCATTCGTCCAAACTCGGCTACAAATCTGTTGATACACTGACTTCTTCTGTCCTTATGACCACCCAAGCTACTGATCCCAGTCGAGCCGATCTCAAATATTTTACCTGCAATAGACACAAACTCAAGAGTATGAGGAATAACAAACAGATATTCATCCAACATCTTTAGATAAGAAGGTGCTTCAATTGACCACATGATCCAAATTGCAGGAAGTCACTATATAGCACAAAAGCACAATCTAAGACTTGTTTGAAGCCCATTATCCAATGTCACACTTCGTCTTCATTGTTCATTGCAGAAAAGAAAAGTAATCACCTCTCTAAAAGTATCAGGCTGAATTAGTTCCGTTTGGTTCAATCAGGTGGAGGTTTATTGGAGAAGTCGTCAACTTGTGCAAGTAGTAGAACAACAGGAGTAAATAGTAAAAGTGAAAGTGTGCGGAGAAACAATCATAATAAGAGCATGATTGTGGAATGGATAAGTGGTCCCAGATTTAGATTTTAAATGTAGAAAATGGGAAAGATGCATTTGATACAGAAGCTGGTTATTAGATCAACTGGACGCACCAACCGATTGAATCAATTGGAGTTGATCTAAGGTTCTCAAACAACGAAATCAAATCAAGAACCTTAAGAAAATGGATAGCATATAAGTTCATCAATGTCAGACAAATAACATACCCTTCACCCATACAGGTGGCGCATCAGTTGCATTTGCAACCAGAAAGGACATAGCAATATCTTCACAGTTCCTGTCAAATTCCATTTCAAGATCAGTGGGGAACAATTTTAGCAAAATGCACGGAGAAAACCAATCACACAGACTAATTGGGAAGCACCTGTTCTTGGTTATATAGTCCTTGAGTGATGCTGGCATCTCATTTGTGTACAACCTGAGATACTTTTTGTGGAAAAATGCAGCTTTCGAGAGAACCATGCTGTAAGTACCCGTCCACCAAACAGACCACCATCCACCATAGCTATAGTATTTATTATTGTCATGCTGCATGATGATCAGAGATCTACAGAGCTTTAGAATCTTCAGATTATGTCTACACCCAGATTTTATATCGGAAAGAGAAATAACCAAACAGCAAAATCCCTTCCCACATTTCAGCTATTTTCATACTTCATGCTTTATGAATTAAGCCCCATCACACTTAAAGATACTGTTTATGGAAAATTACTGGTTCATATTCTAGATGGAAGACTGCAAGACAGCATCTAGGCACCATGCATATTAGTCAAGTACAACATTGAAGAAAATTATTATGGATGCCCAACTAGTTCCTCCGGCGAAATTGTTATGAGATTGACCAATTTTATAGCTTAAAGCAAGCGACTTTTTTCCATGCAGATGAAACATACACAATTGACTCCCACAAGAATATTAATCAAGCATGATAAGCATCACTAATTGACTTCAACCAGAAATGTCATACCGATTGCTCCAGCCAATGGGCACGTGGCACAAAGCCCACCATGTTATCTGGCGCACTTTGCCATACATGGAAAGCAAACTCCACGGATGAGCATGGAAAAATGACATCATCATCAATTGAGAAGACAGCATCTGTCTTCAAATCTTTGATCTCTTTGAATCTATTGTTTAAACTGTCTTCCTTGTTGATGTCAAATTTCAATTCGACTTGCCTTGGCCCTCTCGACTTTGACTGAAGGATATGGTTTAGATGTGCAACAAGAGACTCAGAAGGAGGATCAGGTTCACTCCACACGATGTGTATTGAATCGAGTTCTGAACATGATGCATAATGAGCAATTGATTGCTTTAACAAATCATATCTTTTCCAAGTATTCATTACAATAGCATAACCTTTCCTGCATACAAAATGGAAATTAAGATGTTAATTATTAGGAGCCATATATGCTAAAACTCATAGCAAGGTGGTAAAAACACGATCCACGAATTTCATACATATGGAAATATTCTGTTGATCTTCAAACGTGTTAAGTGTTCCCAAAGCTCAAGGCATCATAATTACGTGATGAAGAACACTATTAAACTATAGCCTAATCAAACCGTTCAAACATGTTTTAGATTCCTAACGACCGTAAGAACAAAAAGGGACATTTCCCCCTGCAGAAATACCAAAGTAACCAACAAACAGTTCTATCCAAGAAAATGCAACAAATAAAACAGCAACACCATAGCAGCAAACAAGTTTTTTGCAAAGGCCCACTCCAATTATTTCAAATGTGTCTCAGGTATTGGAAAACCATGATTTGTCTATTGCTACACCCTGTGTTATGGGAGCAATTGAAAATGGACAAACATATTATTCAAACTTGTTTCACTAAAATAGCAATAACAGCAGAACAGATGATATAGGATACTCAAAGCCAGGTCTCTAGCCCAGGGGCTTATATATTCCACTAGAAAAGTTTAGCAAAGGATCCTCCAAATGTTTCATAAGGGATCCCAAAAATATTTTGCGAAACCAATCAAACCTAACCAAAGTCGACCAGCAGGCAGCACGCTGTCACACAATTATTTCTCAGCGCTAATCTTTTGGCCTCGGCATTACCACACTGAAGGCAAACATTTTCCTTCGCAGAACCAAAGTAAGCAGCAAACACTTAATCCGAGCAAATCAATTGATTGAATAGCAACAAACTTCCAGCACAACTAAATGAGTGTCTTAGTACAGCCCATGCCGAGTATTTCAAAAATGGTTTCTGGCAACCACTTAGAAAGATACCTGTCTTATTCCCACTTCCCTTGTTTATTTGCCCTCGAATTAAATGGAGCAAAAATAAGGCACTCAAAGAAAATCTTTATACAATGCTCTTACATTCAACTCAAATGGTTGAGGAAGCAAATATTCACCCAGAATTCTCATAAAGGATAGCATTTCTACTCTACCAAACCAGTCAGAACTTTATCAAGTTACCATTTGGCGCTATTGCTTCCATTCGATCCAAATTACTAGCATTCAACTAAAAGACTTGAACCCAGCTCATGGAACTGGTGGAACCCCCTGACTGGAAAGAATAAGGAAAGGGAACTAGCTTTCCATCCACTAACAACAAAACTTGAGAAGAAATAGCAAAGGCACTTTCCTGCTAATACAAAAGCAAATAAATTCCTAATTTCTTTGTTTTGAATGATTTACAGCAAGCCTTTCCTAATTCAAGCAATCATCGTCCCTAAAATCGGATATTAAAATCGAGTTAATGGATTAGTTCACCAAACCTGGAGCGAGTCGAGTTCAGTAACTTCCAAAATTAGCGTTTAAGCAAAGCAGGAACAGCCACGAAAAGGGGAGCGAATACAATTTGTTTATAAACAAACTTCCTTAAGAAGAAAGAACCATAAGAAAGCAGGCCATTAATCGCACTAACCCTGGCGCTTGGAGCCGATCATCGGGAGCAGAGAGATTGCTCCATCCCATGAACTTGGACGCCCAGCCTGGGAGCGCCAGCAGCGTGAAAGCGATGCAGCAGAAGAGCAGGATCTTGATCTTCGCCGATCCGGTGGCTGTAACGGCCAGTTGCCGGAATCTCTGCAATCCACGGCGGTTCATCAGCAAGCTGCCTCTCATCGACGCCAGCGTTTACCGGCTTCAGCCTCACCAAATTCGCAAGCCTATCCCCGTCTAGACCCAAAACGGACACTGGAAGTCAATGAATCGCCGCGCGGCCGATCCGGATCGAGCCACCGCGCGACAGATTCATCCGTTTCGAACTGAAACGGCAGAGAGCTCCTCGCCGTCGGCAGAGGAGTAGGAAATCCGATGAGAAGGCGGCGGAGACTGGAGCGTCCACGTGGCTCGATTCACTGTCCGAACGACCGCGCGCGTAACTTGTGAAACTGAATTGCCGTTGTTCTTCTTCTCCTCTTCCTTCAGCTCGTCTCCTCTTCTTACTACTTCACCTTCACATTTTTTTGTTTCTTTTTCTGTTCCCTTTTTTATTCTTTACTTTATTGTTTCTTGGTATTATTGGGTTTACTGCTTTTCCTTATGGGAGTTCTTTTTAAATTATTTTTTGTTTTTTACTATGAGGTCATATACTCATATTTGTACGGTACCATCTCTTTTTTAAAATCACAATTCACGACACAAAAGTGCGACTTAATCATTATAACTAGTTATGACATTATTTTTAAATAGTAATACAAAACATAAAATATAAAAGGTGAGAAAGTCGATCTACCTAATTTAAAGTAAGCGATCACCTAGAATGATGATTACTAGTAATTGTCTGGTTTTTGTGATTACTTGATCATTTTGTTATTAAATGACAAAATAGTTATAAGAAGTACATTCATTATATTTCGATCCAATTTTATATCATGTAAAATCTCGATGATTTCAACTTTAGTGATAGTTTCATTCTCAAAGTTCACCCACTTCAATGAAATGTTTTTTTAACTCCTTCCAATTTAATTTGAATATTAGGCCTTCCAAAGCTCTCTTCTCTCTCTCTCTTATCTATCACGCTCTCCCAATAACAAGATTTACAATCGACTGTCAACGATGGTGTTTCGCTCAAGTAGGCGCTTCGAGCTTGTCCCCTAGTGGATCAGAGGGAAGTAATTGAGGAAGGAGCCAAGCGTTGGGAGAATGCGCTTGTAGGCAAACTTCTTGGCACACCACCATCAATTGTGGTGATTCGTTCTTTGGCCAATTAGATTTGGGGAAAGGGACGGCGAAATTAGAGTTTTTGGATTGGGTGGTTCAATGTTTGTTTTTCAGTTCCCTACTGAGAGAGAGATCCATTTGGGTGTTCGAATGCGAACCTTGGCACTGTCGCCACCGTCCTCAATTCTTGAGGCGTTGCGTTGGAACTTGGAAGCTTGACATCCACACGAGGACAATGGATAACTCTGAAACTTCCAATTTGGGCAAAGCCTCTCAACCTTCATGTTGTACTAGTGGATAAGCATGGCCTAAGTCAACTTGCCGGCCGGTCTTTAAGGCAAGCTCCTCGATCTGCATGGATCAAGCCACCAAGCAAGGAACTCGTTTAGGGTTTGTAAAAGCATGCATTGAGTTGGGTGCTAGAAATAACTTTCCTTAAAGGCTTTAGTCGTAAAAGATAATCCTTTTTAGCTTATAGCGGATGTGCAACAATGTAATGTGCCTTATGCGTGTAGTTCATGTGGGATATTTGGGCACAACTGTGAGGAAGTGGACAAGATCAAGAAGGTCTGATAGGAAAGAAAGAAAATGAATCTGAGGTTGAAACTGGAAAGAATGATGTCTCGTGGTCGTGGAAGGAAAAAGGAAAAGCAGTTTTGACCGTCCCATTATTAGAAGCAATGGTGGAAATTGAATTTGCATATCACAGTTTGAGGCACAAGAGGATAGTCAGCTAGTGTATATTGGATTGAATTTTGCATAATACTCTTTTTTTAGACAAAATCTCTACATTTCCAGTGAACTCATGGTGTATTGTTTATTTTGAAATAATTTCCAATGAATTATTAATTAATTAACATTGCAAGTTTATTTTACTGTTGCTTACGATATTATGGCAAGTTTCCTTAATATGGAAAGAAGGAATGTGAAATGAACCCTAGAAGAAAAGAAGAAACGAGAGAAAAAATGAAAATGGAGATCAGGTAGGAGTGAATATGACTATATGAGATCGTTGTCTTTTCTTTTCCGAGCCACTTAAAATGTATTCGTTGGGCTTCAGTGGATGACGAACCCAAATTTCTTTTTAATGGAAACAGATCTAGCCCAAAGCAGATTTGTGGCCCACGTGGTTCATTGTGTGGATAATTATCATAAATGGTAAAAAAACTATTCACTTTGTACAAAACGGTCACAAACTTTTAATTTTGCACGTTTCAGTAACATATGTTTGAACTAATAACAAAAAAGTAATTCCGTCCATCTCCATCCAAAAAAGCGTTAGTTTCGCCAAGTCATTACGCCATGTCATTTAAAATATTAATTAAAAATTAATGACCAAATTCAATTGAATTGATAACCAACCAAAACCCTGATTCTCTACCCACCCAGTCTCACCTACCCGAATTCTTAGAGACAGACACAACAGCCAAGTTCCACCGCCGTTCCGGGCGTCTCCCGCACCGCCTCCCCACCGTGTTCATCAATACCATCGCCGCCGTCTCCTCCCCTCCCAACGGCGAACCCCACCCGCTCCTCAATCCTCATCTCCTTCTTCTCCATTTCCCCCTCCGCCACCACCACCACCACCACAATCTCCGAGTTGCGCCGCCGCTCCTGTGAGGTCCAGCCCATCAACAACCTCCTTGAGCTCTTCCGCAACGACGATGATGGGCCAACCATGGACTTGTACGCCAAGGCTAAAGCGAAGGCCAAGGCCGTCGTCTCAGAGCTCGAGATGCGAGGAGGAGATGAGGAGGGGAGGCGGAGATTAGGCTTTTCGGCGAGGTTGAGGTCGTGCCGCCGGATGTGGTGTACGAATTCGAGGAGGAAGCTGGGGAGCTAATGACAATGAAGGAGTTCAGAGGATTTCGAGTGGAATAAGAAGGGAAATAAATCAAATAATGCAGGGAAACAACTTATGGGAAACAGCTTCGGTTTTCAACAAAAAATTGGGGAAACGACAGCTGAAGTAGCAGAGGAAGAGGAAGGGGAAGGATGAAATGCAGCCCGCCACCGAGGATGTCCCTGCTCCAAATAATGAGAAGGGCAAAAGACATGCTAAAGGAGGGTGGGGTTCGCCGTTGGGAGGGGAGGAGATGGCGGCGATGGTATCGATGAACGCGGTGGGGAGGCGGTGCAGAGTCGCCCGGACTCGGCGGCGAAACTTGGCGATTGTTTCTATGTCTATGAAATCGGGTGGGTGGGTATAGAATTAGGGTTTTCGGTTGGGTTATCAATTCAATTGAATTTGGTAAGTAATTTTTAATTAATATTTTAAATGACGTGACGTGATGATTGGGCGAGAGTAACGGTTTTATGGATGGAGATGGACGGAATTACTTTTTTGTTATTAGTTCAAACATATGTTACTAAAATGTGCAAAATTAAAGATTTGTGACCATTTTGTACAAAGTGAATAGTTTAGTTACCATTTATGATAATTACCCCATATTGTGTGTGTGAAGATCACACACTGAGTATTCATCAAAAGCCAACATTGCATAACTGAGTTGTGCCATAAGTAACAAAGTTGACCAAACTTCCTTAGCCCCCCAACAGACAAAACTTCACCCAATCTTTCAAAGCCGCAAAGCCTTATATTTTCGACCCTCTCACCATGATTTTGATTAGCATTGGGTGATAATGTTTCATCAAGTTCTTAAAACAATAATCAATGGCTTCTTTTTCCGATAATGGAACGTATGAAAGTATTGTTGAGTACGTAATTGTCTGAATATGAACTACTCTCGAGTCTCGATCATTTGTAAAGCAATTCGAAGAAAAATCATTAAGACAAAAAGTCTTATCTTCAAAAAGTTTCAAAATTAAATTATCATTCACGATTCCTCTTTTTAATTTATAAAAAGGAACACATTATTAGACATTAGTTATTACTTCAACAATAACACTAGACAAAGTGTCATATCGAAGTGCTTACATTTGATAAAAGCTTACAACCACTAGAAAGTAGGAAACTATTACACATTGCGCTTAGAGGCTCGACCAATTATTACATTCGAAAATCATTGCTACAGATCAGCTTCTACATATTCTTTTACCGGCGGAGCCTTCAAAGATTCAACGATGAGTTCAGGACCGGAACCAGAGAAAGAGGTGTCTCCCTACGAAGAACCACAGAGCTCCACTCGTTCATATCCAACTCCTCCACCCCTTCCGGCAATTCCCAATCGAACCAACACATCAAATTGGCCGCCACCAGCCCCACCTCCAGAATCCCCATCGTTATCCCGGGGCACAACCGCCTCCCGACACCAAACGGCAGAAACTTCCCCGTCTGACCCTTGAAATCCAACGGCTCAGCCAAAAACCTCTCCGGCACAAACTCCTCCGCCCTGTCCCAGATCTCGGGATCCCTCATGATCGCCCACACGTTGATCATCACCATCGTCCCTTTCGGAACATCGTACCCTTTCAGCTCCGCATCATCCGTCGCCTTCCTCACCGACATCGGCGCAGGAGGGTGCAGCCTCATACTCTCCTTCACCACACACTGCAAGTACTCCATCCGACCGACGTCCTCCTCGTCGATTCGCGACTTCATCGCAACCACCTCCCGCACTTCCTCCTGCGCCCGCTTCATCGCGGAAGGATGCCTCACCAGCTCCGACACCACCCACTGCAGCGTCGTCGCGATGGTGTCGGTCCCACCCGCGAACATGTCCAGGAGGATGGCCTTGATGTTCGCGTCGGTGAATTTTAAGTCCAACACTACTCTCTCCTTCTGAACTCTCAGCAGGATGTCCACCACGTCCTGCCTCTCCGACGATGACCGAACACGATCCGACGTCGTCGTTCTGTGGTCGTCGATGACCCGGTCCAGGAAGTCGTTGACTTCCTGGGCCACCCGTCTGATCTCGGAGTCCAGCCCGGTCAACGCGTCGACCCATCCCAAAACAGGGAACGTATCCTTGAAGCAGAATCGCGCCAGAAGGTCCAGCGCGCTGGACACCAGCGGGACGAAGTTCTCTTCGTCCCCGCCGCCACCGTTATTATTGTACGTTTTGCCGAAGGCGGCTCTGGAGATGACGTTGTTGGCGAAGGTGGAGATGACGTGGCTGAGATCCACCGAAATTTTCTCCTTCGCCGCGTCCTTGAGAATGCCCACCAGGTGTTCGACCTCTTGCTCGCGGATGTAGCGGAACTGGCTGACCCTCTTCTGGCTGAGCACTTCGACCATGCAGATCTTCTTCATCTGGCGCCAGTACTCGCCGTAGGAGGAGAAGATGATGTCGGTGCCGCCGCCGAAGAGGGCGTCCGAGGCCTTCCACCGGGGCCTTCCCGAGAAGCTGACGTCGTGGTCCTTGTCGGTGAGCTCCTGGACGGCGTCGGGGGAGGAGACGATGACGTAAGGGATGGCGCCGAGTTTGACCATCATGATGGGCCCGTAGGTTTTGGAGAGGGTGCGGAGGGAGCGGTAGGGGAGCTTGCTCATCTGGAAGAGGTTTCCGACAAGTGGCAGAGACGGTGGAGATGGCGGCAAGTTGAGCTTACGGCGGTTGTTGTTGCCGGGGTTGGTGATCTTCCGCAGCAGGTAGAAAGCTGCGGAGGAGAGGAGAAGGATGGAAGCCACCGCGGTGGTGAAGAGATCGGACGACATTGTTTTGTTTGTGACTTGTGTAAAAAAAATTGTTTGAGGGATGAACTTGAAACGGGTACTTATGGACATGATCACATGAAGAGAAGACAAATAAGTGGCGGCCGATGGTTTGGCAGCAATTGTTGATGGGTAGCGTGGAAAAATTTTAGTGACTACGAGTAGGGATGACAAAAATAATCGTAACTGTGGATATCCGTCCGAATCCGACTTAATTAGGTAGGGTAAAACTCGAACCTGAAGAACATTTAATGGGTACTGGTAAAATCCGAACCCTAATATTGTGGGTAATGGATGGACAAGGGTTTCTCACTATCCAACTCGAACCCGCCTGATTATACAAATGCATATGTATTTTGTCTAGAAATAATCATTATTTTTCTCTAAAATATGTAGCATATAAATATAATATTTTCATGAAATTGTGTAGTTTTAATTAATTTTCTTGATTCTAGTGAATTATTATCGTACTTTTCCTCTTACGTAATGTGAGAATACATGTGAATGTTAACATATTGGTTGGAGTTATGAAGAGAAATTATTACCCATGGATAACCGTGGATACCCGAAACCTGAACGGGTATGGACATGGTTTTGATTTTCTACCCGTTTCACATGTGGGTATGGGTAAAACCCGAACTACTATGGGTAGGGTAACGGATATATACTATCCGCGCCCGACCCGACTCATTGTCATTCCTAACTACGAGTTAATTTATGCAATTAATTACTAATATATATTAATATAAACTTGTTAATTAATACTTATTTAATTTTGTTTTTATTGACCGACATATATGTTTCCTCAGAAAAACCAAATACCAGCGCCGGTGCCGAATTCGTTTCCGACGATGTTGATTCGATGTTTCGCGGTGGAAACTATTGCGATGCCGTTTGATCGGAAGCACCGCTGATTGCTAAAATCGAGACGACCGTCAAATATCCACCGGGCGTTGTTGATTTGATCGGTACAACTGACTTCTGAAAACGATGACGATCGTCAAATATCCACCGTCGTGCGATATTGATTTGATCGATGCACCTCTGAATGGTGAAATCAACGTGACCGTCAAATATCCACCGCCGAGCGATGTTGATCTGATCGATGCACCTCTGACTTCTAACCAACGCGACCGTTACTACGGTTCGCACCTCTCCAAACTACGTTCGAACGAGGGTGTTTGAGTTTTTTGAGGAATCTATGCTACCGCTACTCCTATGGAGATTCCTGTGGAGAGCTCCGCGACTACGACTATTTCTACCAACTATGGAGATCCTTCCTGGAAGGAGAGCTCCGCGAAGGAGTTACAGAGAAAAGGTAAAGTTTTGACAGAGTTGTTCTGTGTTGATTTTTGGTTGTCCTCTCTCTCTCCTTGCAGGGTTGATTTTATCTAAAACCAACTTCGTAGTCTTCACGCTCTGTGGAACTGCTTCCTCAACTGCTCCGTCCTGAAATCCCACGTGTCTCAACTGCCTTGATCTCCTCTTTCTGCTTTGCGTAAAAGTCACGTGCACACACATCAACTTTGTACCATGGTTCGAATCACGATACTGCCATCGATTAAAACAACATTGTTGTTTCACCCTCGTCACTGCGTACTCGCCGCTAGATTGTTGATCTCTCGGCGTCGTTGACCACACAAAGTCGATGGCCTTCGTTGAACTCCACGATGTTGCTTTGGCCTTGCGGCATCATTGAACTTCGCAACATTGTCGCACTAGCAATGCCGCTAGATTCGCGACCGCGACATCTCTCTCCACCGCAATGTTGTTTAGCTCGCGGCTTTATCCACCACCGCGGTATTGCTGATTCCTCACGCGATATCGTTTTCAAGCTCCGCGGTGTCGTTTTCTTCTCCAAACAGCTCCGTTTGTTTTTTTTCCCGCGACATTGTTTAAATATTTAAACACTGTCGTTTGCTAATACATTGGTACCGTTGGGCTTACTCGCGCTACCGTTTTTAATTAAACGACACCGCTAACATAGCCAAAAAATTCCAATTCATTGAACCGCCGCGCGTTTGCACTCGCTTGCATTGGGGGGCGGATTTTGGTCACTTACCCGATATGGCTTTTAATTAATCGGTACCGCTTGTCAAGGCTCTCGCGGCATCGTTTTCAGATCCACGGTACCGTTTTAACTCTCCGCGGTGCCGCTTTTCCCCTTCCAAAAGGAATAAATATAATAATTAATTAGAAAACTCCTTCTCCATAACCCACACTAAACGCGCGGCCCCTTTTGTTTTTCGGCGAGCGGTGTCGTTTCCCGTGCCGCGGTACCGCTGAGTTTCCTTGCGGTACCGTTTTTCTGTATCGCGGTATCATATTGACTCTCCGCAACGCCGCTTGACTCCAAACGACACCGTTTTTTCCCGCGGTATCGAATTAAATGCCGAGACTAATAAATGCGGCATTTAATTTCGGCCCAAATTAATTTTAGGTGTCAACAATATCGATTGATATGAGAATATTGAGTCTGCCTTGCCACTAGTACCGCTTACTAGGGCTGGGCATACGGGCGGATCATCCGCGGGTTTGGACCGACCCACCCGCATTTGACCCGAATTTCGTTAAGTGGGTGGGTCTGTGGGTGGATGACGGGTTGTGCTGGGAGCCATCCGCCGGGTGGTGGGTGGATTGTGGGTGAGTGTGCGGGTGACCCGCTCAACCCGACAACAAAAAGATCAAAGTCGTTGGCGCTAGAGAGAGGAGAGTGGAGACGTTAGATATAAACTCGGACTGCTCCTGGAGTTTGAACCTCAAAGCCAACCTTCCGAATAGAGATTCCCTCTTCTTCCCTTTACTTTTTCCTCTAATTCTTGTGCCTAGATCACCGCTCTTTCCTTTGTGGAATTATTTTCCTTAGTTCCTTGCACCTAATAATCGTCTCAATCTGTAGAAAACTCTTTCATAATAGAATTTCTATCCAATTTAAGAACTAATTCGACATTTTTCGCCCTATTTCAACTTCTTGTTTCCCTCGATGATTCTCTTCACCTATTATCATGTCAAATTGACTCCTTTATATTATATATATTGTAATGTGGGTGAACCCACAAACCCACCCGCATCATCCACCATCCGCCCGACCCAACCCGAGACTAAATGTGGGTGGGTGGTGGGTTAAAAATTATCAATCCGTTTAAGCGCGGGTGGGTGCATTTTATGGTCAAAATCCACCCGACCCACCCAATGCCCACCCCTACCGCTTACCAGTAAGACGTGGGCCACCTATTGTACATTGGCAAGTTTGATCTAGGTACGTTGCGTTACGTTCCATCTGTCCATGCATGTATTGTGTCATTTTAAGCCACCAAGCTTTTGTGCTTATAATTAGCTGAAGCGTATTGATGCGATTCTAACCCTAATTAAGCTGGAAATATTGACCCTTGTTCTAGAACCATGTGTTAGGTTTCTACTTCCTAGGTTCTTTCGTTTTCCATTTTTTTTTTTTTTTTTGACAATTGTTCTTTCGTTTTCCAGCTGGAAGTGTAATGTGTAGCTTTCCACTTCCTATGTTCTTTCGTTTTCCTAAACGTGTAAGTGTGTGTAATCGGGTCAAAGTTTGCCTCATGTCTTCATCCTAAGGTGAGTTTTAGTAGGGATAATGGAGAAAAATTCATGAGAGAATTTAGTAAAGTAGTGAGACTTTAACTTGATTGGGGTACTTAGAAAATTAATAATGTTAAAATCAATATATTTAATGTTATTTGAGTTGATTGGGATGCTTAGATACAACTAACAATGACGAGATCGAGTATGGGGTGTTGAATTAGAATGATCATACTAAAACCCTACGTATCTAATAATGGATTTTTTTGCCCCACTTTTTGCAAAGTGTGATCCTCGGAGCCCTATCCTCAAGCAATGGCGTAGATATACGATTTCACTCAAGGTGGATCCGACGCAAAAATAGAAATATATAAACTAATTTTATTAATATTTAAATGACCCACGAATTCAACATTAGAGACGCGATTCTATGTAAAATCTAGAGTTATTTACATGATATGCAAGATCAATATGAGCTACAAAGTTTTCTACAATATTTTAGTAGACCACTAAAACTAGTGAACACGAGGTGTTTGATTTGAATATTACAAGTTTTATACTAAATATTGTTTTTTTTTTTGTATCTTAATCCAGAGTCAAGGTGGGTCCCTCTACCATGCTAGCTTCGCCACTATCCTCAAGCCTTCCCTCCCGTCACTGGAAGAAATACGTGTTGATGATTATCACAATTTTTTTTTTGTCATGAAACGATAAATTAAACGATAGTGAGCTTAATTTACATTGTAGTTCTCATTTTTCGATCCAACATGAATGTTAATTTAAATTCAACAATTTTGGAAGACAAATTTTTTATGATAAAAATGTACTTGTATGTTCTGACTGGAAATTTAATCAAACAATGACATAAAATATCTCAATGTAGTTGAAGAAAATTTTGAAATGTGTTATCAAAGCCTATACTTTTCTCAGTCAGTACTTAAAATTCAGATGTGAAGTTTGCATCAAAATTTTCAAACTCTTGTCGGACAATTTGGACTTTGTTACTTAGTACTTGAATTATGGAGTGGGTTTATAGCCACAAATGTGTTTTCCTGCTGATAGACTCGCAGAGAGTCGCAGTCCTAAGTGGTGGCTTTTTGAGATGCCAATTTGGATCATAGTAGGTGATGTTTGGAATTACATGTATATGTTTTTTGGAGCTTATGTTTCAGAGTATCAAATCAGGTGCCAGTGCCACAATAAGCTATTGGATTTGGCACATGCTTAATTAAGCCATTTTTTATGGAAAATTAAGCCATTTTTCCAGTCATTGCGTTTGAAAACTAAAAATCTTCCATGAGGCAATTTGGTCATATGTTGAAATTATAAAAAAAAATGCTAAGGGGAATTGGACCGCGCGGGTTGCCGGGTTTCAACTCTTCATTTATTGGTCCAAATCTCAAAGTCATAAACTCATTAATCAAATGAGGCCCAAATTGCCCCATGAATAG